TCTAACTTGATGTGAAGAGCATACGTAGAGGCTAATGATCGGTGAAGAGAATGAGGTCACGTCAGAAAATTTTTGATGGCACAGTAGGCTCGAGCTAAAGCCATTTTGACCTCTGAAAATGCTGTACGCGCGGTATCGCTCAATTATAATTTGTGTGAATTACTGCGAAGTCGGTCAGTGATCTTAACAGTTCCGCCGGGACAGAACGTCGGTAGGAGTTAACCAAACGGTGAAATATTATCAGCCCCTCGCGTGTGGAGGGTACAGTGTACTCCATGATTGCACGTACTTTGTTTTCACAGGGTGGAATACCCTCTTGCCTTATAATGTGACCTAAGAATTTCAATTCTGGCGGGCTAGGTTCACTTTTGTTGGGGTTGACTATTGTTCCGTTATCTTAAAGGCGCTAGAATGGGAGTGTTAGATGCTGATAATGTTCATCTACGTTTTGTGGTGCAACTAGCAGGTCATCGCCACAGACGCAAACAAAGTCTAAGTCTCGTACTATGCTATCGATAAACCTTTGGAAAGTTTGAGCAGCATTCTGTAATCTAAATGGCATTCGTAGGTACTCAAACAGACCGAAAGGAGTGGTGGTAGCAGTTTTCTCGATATCTTCAAGGGCGATTGGGATCTGACGATACGCTCGTATCAGACCAACAGCAGAATAAATAGTCGTGCCCTTGAGTGATGCCGTGATGTCGTGTATGTGGGGGGTTGAATAGCTATCGAAACGTGTTACTACATTTAATGCTCGGTAGTCGCCACGTGGTAGCCAACTTATCCCATCCCTTTTGCGAACCATGTGGAGAGGTGTGGCCCAGGGACTGTGGTAAGAACGAATAATACCTGGAGCTAGTAAACTGTCAAACTCACGCTTAGCGAAAGCCAAGGTGACCGGTGCCAGTCGCCGAATGGAATATATCATCACGCCAATGAAAAACACTTGTGAATCGGTACGCATTTGTTTGAGCTCGTAAGCCCATGAATTTACTATTCGAAGAAGTATTGATTAGCTGTAGCCTATGTGAGTCGACTAGAGATTCAAAGTTCCGTATGAAATCAATACCGAGTGTGGCTACCGAACATCAGCAATGATGGACGCCCACAGATAATTTGGTCGGTTGCTCTTGCTGACCGAAAGATGTTGTGTACAATAGGTAGGAATGAACGAGCCATTCGCAGCACGTAGTCGAAGGATCGTAGCTTGAGACTTGCTGTTACCAGCCGGTACGACAAAAACTTGGGCACCTGTATCTACTTGCTACATAGAGTTAATGAGATAATCGTGCACGTGGACTCCTTGCTGTGTATTACGTCCTACGATATTTCAGACGCCATGTGTAAGGCTAAGAATTCACCTCTTTTAACGACCATAAAGCCCAGTCGCTTTCTCCTGGCCTGTCCTCAGACATGTTCTTTCCTCGAGAGTACTCTAGCAGTTTAAATCAGATCTATTACATACTATAAACCTTGGCATTATAGCAAAACAATTTCTGTCAACCGTACCTAGGTATCACAATTGCTACATTCTGGGGACTTTGTGGCGATTTCGTCTACAAACGAACAATAATTTTGTTTTTTTATTCGTCGTAAACTTTGGTGTCTGTTGTTACTGTTCTAGTATAATTTATCAATTTTAAAGACTGTGTGAAGTATCATAGGTTTTTACTGATCAAGAACTAGCTCATCAGCGTTGTATACCGTGGGTGACTAATGAAGATGTGAATATGTAGCGCATTCGAAACCTAACTCTATCAAATCCTAGTTTCGCTTATCAGTTTGTCTTAATCTCAGGCTGGCTCTATTTCTGGTTGCTGTCTATTTATTCGTATATTGCACGTAAGTGCATTCTATGGGCTTACTGAGTCGTTGGCTCATTTTTTTCTCTTGTTCTTTCTTCGAGATAATCTCATACGTTGCTCCTCACATCTCCCCTAGCACACAAGGTACCTCCTGGCTAGACGCAAACCAACCAAAGGCTGAAGTTACAAATATATTTCAACTCAATTGAGACTCTAAGACGCGCGGTTTTTAACTGCGGACTTGCGGAAGCAATCAGTCTGTCGGTCATCCTTCGGTACTAGGATTGTTTCTGGTAAGTGGTGTTAAAATTCAGAGAGTATTGCGTAATTGACTTTGCCGATATGAAAGGCCAGACTATTACTGTTTGATATCGGGCTAATGTAGCCAAACTATATACCATTACCCTATATTGTTATATTCATATATTAAATAGACTTCAGATTTCGTTCGAGAGCATTATGTTGAAGGCGCACAGTGGTTTCTACATGGTCAACCTCACTATGTACTCAGCTTTCGCTCGTAACAAACAGAACAGTGAGGCATTACCTTTTCATGCACTAAGTTGTGCGGTGGGAACATAATATTTCCAATTAAACAATAATGGGGATATAAAGGTGATCTTTAAAAAAATACGGACGACATCGGCTAAGAAAATTTGTTATTCATTCGGACGGGATTCCATTAAAATGTCACCTTTTACGCACAAGCAGGAGAAATCAGTTAGTCAGTCAGTTAGTTAAAAGGTAGAACTTCATGCGTACGTACATCAGTTCAGGTTGCCATACTGCATTAGCACGGAAATGTAATTGTCGATTCAAATCCCAATAGTAGTAGAGGCAGTAAAAGTATTAGCAGTAATCTGAGAGATTAGGGTTCGAAGATGTTATTCAAGAAGTATAGTTCAGTGAGGTAAATTTAGAAAGAGAAAGATAGAGGTGATTAGGAATTTAGAATTTCATAGAACGAAAAGAGTAAATACACCTGCGCCATTGCAAACAGTTTTGAACCATGTCACTCAGGGTCTCTAACCATCGATTATTATCATCTCACGGACCGCAGCCAGGTAGTCGACACCTACCGACATGACATGACAACAACGTTGCTCACTCGGCAGTCCCACGATATACGAGCAATGCTTCGAAAACACCTATGATTGAATACCAGCAAACTACGAATATCTTCTACTCTCACTGGCCATGTTTCACAGCCATAAAGTAAGACGGAGCGAACTACTGCGCAGTACACTCGTCCTTTAGTCAGCAAACGGATATCTCGCCTACGCCATAAGTGACGCAGGTTGGCAAAAGCCAATCGAGCCTTCTGTATCCGTGCTGAGATTTCGTCAGTCACCAGGCCATCGGCACTGATGAGACTCCCAAGATAAGTGAAGCGGTCAACACACTTGACTACTTCACTCCGTATCACTAGTTCAGGTGCCGACGCAACCCAATCTTGCTGCAACATTTTGCATTTCGAGAGGAAAAACCGCATTCCGAACATGCTTGCATTGATGATTAGGGTAGTCAGAAGAGTGCATTTTGTCAGCGTCTTCACCGAATAGAACTATATCATCGACCTATTCTAAGTCAATAAGCGAGCCACCTGGTAAAAGGTCTACTCCAGAAAATTTAGACGAGGATAAGGTTATTTCTAGGAGCATATCTATGATAAAATTAAACAAGAATGGAGAAAGTGGACATCCCTGACGGACACCACTTGAAGTGAAGAATGCCGGTGACAGTTCGCCATAAGCTCTCACTCGACCAGTGGTGTTGGATTAGAGAGCTTGTATGAGTTTAATGTACTTCTTTGGTACACCTTTCAATGACAGACACTGCCACAGAACCTCACGATCGACAGAGTCGAATGCCGCTTTTAGGTCCAGGAACACAACTATTGTCGGACGTCTAAATGTGTGTCTGTGTTCCAGGACCTGTCGTAGTGTGAAGATGTGGTCTATACATCCACGTCCAGGTCGAAAATCAGCATGGTTTTCTCTAGTCTGCTCTTCACGAGCTCTAGTTAGGCGTCTAAATATAATGTAGGCTAAGAATTTAGAAACTATATTAATCAAACTTATTCTCCTGTGATTGTCACGAGAAGACTTTTGTCCTTTCTTAAAAATTGGGACAATCAGTGATTGGGACCAGTCAGATGGAATTACGTCGTTCCTAGATTCTACCAAAGATCTCGGTCAATCTAGCTGCTAAAACTGGACCACCATCCTTGAAAATCTCGGGAGTCTATCTATCGGGTCCTTGATAGCAGATATCACTGCCGTTTCCACAGCCTTTTTGATATCATTCCAACCTGCCTCCGGATGGGAATCACTTACATGGTCGCCTAACTGTTTTTCTAGTTGTTCCTGAAATATACTCCTTGCATTATTATCATTAAGTAGAACCGTAAGAGGCTTCCTTACGGTGTCTTTACTACGTCCAGTAAGTCTCGAACAAATATGCGCTCGCACTAGGGTATGGTCTGAATCTAAACATGTGCCACGGAACGAGCGACAGTCCTCTATCGAACCGCTCCATCGGCGACTGACGACGATGTGATGTAGTTGGGTCCAACGAGACGTCTTTGGAGGTCGCCAGGTCAACAGATGCTTTTCCTTATGCCTAAAGTTAGTGTTTGCTAGGAATAGGTGGTTATCTGAGCATATTTGCAACAGACGATCGCCATTGTCTGTTCTCTGAGCCGCGACACCATAACATCCACCTAGGTATCTTTCTTGCTCACTTAGTCTACCTACTTGAGCATTAAAGTCACCAGCCATTATAACTATATCAGAGCGCCTAGCTTTTTGGAGGAGGTCCGAAAGCTTTCTGTTAAACTCATCTTTCATCTTGTCTGAACTGCATTCAGTAGGGGCATAGACAGATACGACGAAGAGGCAACGGCGAGTGTCCCTATCTTTCCTAGTTCTTACTGTCCCGTTTAGTCGGGTAGCGCACAATCGACTATCTACTGTGATCCAGTCTACGAGAGCTAGTTCTGCTCTAGGGCTCAATACTATACCTACACCAGCGAGACCCCTGTAGAGATAGATGTCTACTGAATTTCAATTTACGCTGGTAAGAGTTCCCAAAAGAATTATTATTAATCCTTTTTAAGCCTTTGAGTTTAAACAAATTACGTTCTAATTGTACAGGGTTGTAACTCTCTTATTCTTATTGATTTTAACACTAGAAATGACGGATCTAGAAGAAGCTCGAAGATGTTATGGATGCCGTGTTTTATTCGGGACAGACGATGAATTTTGGCATCATATATTAAATGTGGATTGCAGTAGCTCGATAAGCTCATCGAGTTTGGTGAAAGATTCATCCTTACTTTGTTCAACCGAAGATAATAAACCACTGGAAAATAAACCGACGAATGATCTAGAGTTTTGTGCTTTGTGTGATAAGAAGTTCCTATCAAAGGCAGAGTTCCTGAAACATTCTTCATCTCCAGAACATCAGCTGAAATTTGAACTGGCTGCCAGAGTTCGTTCTGATAATAATATCGATGTAGCTCAGTCACATTTATTTTGCGATGTTTGTCAAGTTAGTCTTCCGTCTCTTCAAGCTAAAGATGCTCATAATGTTGGTAAAAAGCATAAGAAGATGTGTAATCGTCAACCAAACTCCTTAAATTTACAAGAGAACTCATCTATGGCTCACAACACAGAGCCTAAAAGTAATCAAGAAGACTTAGAAAGGTTAGTGGAAGATTGTGGTCAGTCATCGTCAACGAGTTCTGAAAGTGCCCATTTAGCTGAAAAAAATACTGATGTCATTCCTCAGTTGCATACTGATGGTGAAAATGATGTTATATACTTATTGCGTCGACTTTGTTTGACTCAAATTCTATCACTTTTAGTGGGTATAAATGAGGATTCATCTTCAAATTTAAAAGACACTTTTAATAAATCGCAAACGAAACATCCTTTTAAAGAGAAAGATCTACTCGAATTGACGAGGGCGGTATGTAGAGAAGAATTACGTGCTATACTCCCACAATCTTTACAACATATCGTTTCTTCTCAGACTAAAAATGAAGATAGCTAAACTTACTGTAAGTTATTTATACCGTTGATACTTTCACTACAATCATTTATTCCATCCATAATTTTTATAAAAGAGCAACTACTTACTTTCTAGGAAAAATATTAGTTTTCCTCATCATTTCTGTAAGCTACTGTTTTCCCCTGACCAATACATTTTTATTTATATTTAAAGTATTTCGGATTAAAGCTGATTGAATTTTTAATTTATTCTTTATTACTAATTATTTATTTTCAACGTTATTTTGTATATTCCTGTTTTAAAGTGTCTGCTTGTAATCAGTTGTAGAAGTCATGTTAGTGAGAGGACATGGTTTAAAGATAAGGATTAATTGTTTATATATGATAATTACATTTTAAGCATTTATTTATGATATGAAATTTTAATATGAAAATCCTTAAGCGTTTAATTATCTGATTTCCTCTGTAACTGTCATTCAAAGACTCGTAATAAGCTGAGAATACCTTGAGTTAATTTTCATGTTTCAATGCATTTTAATTCCACTGCTTTCATATGCGATAGCAAAATCCACTTAGTGCTAGAAACAAAAGGGATAGAAACAGTTATTTCTCATCCACACACTAGTTTTTAAACAGTGAAATTAAAAGTAAAGTTTGATGAATTTTAAAACTGTCATAAACGAAGATGCTCTGAGTGTACTCAGAATTACAGTCAAACATTTATGACATTAAAATACTATGGGTAGATTTCTTATTTAGCACAAACTTATAAAACTTATTATAAAGGGCTTGGAATAAAAAAAGTGATGAAACCAAGTCACTGAATATAAACAGTTTAAAGGTACGATAGAATGATGGTTAAAAGTTGGATACGTACAAACATCACAAGAACCTAGTGATCATTAGACGATATGCCAATTTGTGAATTACAATACCAGTAGTTACCTTAGTTTTTTGCAACTATGAAAATCTTACAACTGTAGATATAGTCATTATCTAAGTTAAGGTAATTTGGGGAAATATCACAAATCATTGATATATACATTCTGGGTTTGATTTCTGTTTTGTTGTTAATCTCAGTGTTGAGCATATCAGTTATATCACGAAGCAATATTTTTTATAAGATTAAAGATTGAAGGCAAATTTTAATAAGTTGACTGGTCTTACAAGATTTCGCTAGCCTGCGTGACTAGTCTTGAGTATGACGTGAAGGATTAATGTATTTGCAGAACTTAAATCTTTGATATTACCAGAGACTAAATTAGTGCACTATCATCAAACAATAAGAATAATTGATGTATTGTTCCAGAAAATGGGTATTAATCATATAACTACTGTTCGCTGTGAAGTAATTTACCTCATACATTGTGTACTCCATGGAAAGTGAACTTGTTCGGCTTTTGAAAGGTATACTCATTTGTGGTAGATATCAGATAGGCTTCAATAACTATGGAAGATGTTATAAAATATAAACGAGGATTCGCTTAGTACTCAATACCAGCATACTATTAATAAGGTAGGATATATTCAATAACTCCAACGCATGAGGGAGCGATCCAGCTCAGTAAACACAACTCTACTATGAGAACTGGCTGGTAAATCCCTTCGAATAAGCTTCTGAAGACCTGCCAATTCGTATCTGTGGACTTTTGCGCCACTGTATAAACATTGCGTTGATTAAAACCTTATAACTTTTTGATTTTTTTACAAACCTTTATAATTACTGAAAGCTGTTACATTTGCCTTACGATACAATGTTACGAGTATAGTGAAAGTTTTCAACTAGATGTACATACTGAAAAGAAAGTTGTGCTTTTCCACCAACCGGAAAAGCTTTATTAGTTTCCTTGATTCGTTGATTGGCTACTTTTTGGATAGTGACAGTTCAATTGATTGAATTTCATCGTTCATATATGTTATCTACCGATTTCTTTAGCGAATACCAGTCCCAACCGAAGCTGCTACCTTGACTTGGTGGTCGGGCTTGCCTATCGTAATATCCGCTTGCTAACCAAAGGACGAGTGTACCATGTAGCATTTCACTCCGTCCTACTATAAGGATGCGAAACATGGCCGTTAAGAGTAGAGGATTTTCGTAGGTTTCTAGTCTTCGATCATAGGTGTTTCCGAAGCATTGCTCGTGTATCATGGGACAACCGAGTAAGCAATGCTGTTGTTAGGAAACGAGTTCTAGGTAAGGATGGCAAATCAATAGATGAAGTAGTGAAACTTCATCAGTTGAGGTGGTTGGGACATGTGTTACGTATGGCTAACCACCGAATGCCGCGACGAGCTATGTTTTGCAGTGTAGGAGTATGTTGGAAGACAGCTATGGGTGGCCGAACCAAAGCATGGCAGAAATCCATGAAGTCATTGACGAGTGGACTGAGTCATGTTGGTAGATGTAGGCTACGTGTTTGGGGTCCAATGGTTAGAGACCTTGAATGACATGGCTCGGAATCGTTTGCGGTGTAGGAATAGGTTGGAAGAAAGCTAGGGGCGGCCACACCAAAACATGGCACAAATCCATGAAGTCATTGACAAGTGGACTGAGTCGTGTCGGTAGGTGTCGACTACCTGGCCGCGGTTCGCGAGATGATAATAATCGATGGTTAGAGGCCCTGAGTGATATGGCTCAAAACCGTTTGTAATGGCGCAGGTGCATTTACTCTTTTCGTTCTATGAAATTCTAATTTAGATTCCTAATCACCTCAATCTTTTTACTTCTAAATTTATCTCACTGAATTCTACTTCTCGAATCATTTCTTCGCTCCCTAATCTTCTCCATTACTGCTAATACTTCTATTATTGCTATCACTCTTGGATTTGAACTGACAGTTGCGTCTGCGTGCTGATGTGGTACGGCAACCTGAACTGCTGTACTTAGTATTACTTTTGACAAAAACAGTATGTCCCATGTCTAGTTTCTGGAATTGATCATAATATTTTAGCTTTCTAAATCAGCTTGCATTATGAATAATGATACGTGAAATTTCTTTTTAAGTTTTGATGAAAGTCGGCCAGTCAGCAAGAGCGTAGAACCTTGTACGCATGTACATCATTTCAAGTTGCCATACCACATTAGCACAGAGATGCAATTGTCGATTCAAATACCATAGTAGTAGAGGTAGAAGACGTATTAGCGGTAATGGAAAGATTACGGTTGGAAGGAATTATTCAAGATATATAATCAAGTGAAATAAACCTAAAAAGAATGAGATAAAGACGGTGAGGAATTCTGAAAGTTCGAGTTTGTGAGAGGACAAAGAATAGATGCATCTGCTCCACTGCAGGCGATTTTGAGTCATGTCATTCAAGGTCGCTAACTACTGCTTACTACCATCTCGTGGACCCCAACCGGGTAGTCTACACTTACTAATATGGCTCAGTCTACTAGCTTTCTTCCAACCTCCTACATCGCCAAACATCGCTCGTTGGGCATACATAACACATGTCCCAACCACCTCAACTGATGAAGTTTCAATACTACATCTATTGATCTTCCATCCTTACCTAGTACTCGTTTCCTATCAACAGCATTGCTTACTTGTCCCGGGACATGCGAGCAATGCTTCGAAGACACCTACGGTCGAATACTAGTAACAGACCTAAAGTAGGACGGGGCAAACTGCTGTTTTGTAAACCCGTCCTTTGGTTTTGATGAAAGTGTTTCTGTAAATCGTATCTTCTGAACGTCAAGTAATGGGACCTAAATTAATATGAGTGTAGCAAATGTTTATGAGATCGATTGTTGGAGTCCCTTTATGGCTTCTGCTACATCCTTTTTCGTAATATTTGATGGCCGAGGCAGTGATCCAGGCAGTAAAATAAAGTTGCCTCTGAAAATATATTTTGAATAACTGAATTAACTAACATAAGCAGTAGTAGTGAGTCACTAAAGTGTAATAGGAATTAGTGGATACAACTGGACTGAAACAATAGCTGGATTGGAACAACACTAGATTCGGACATTTTCGTAGTTGAAAGGGGTTTATGGTGACATTGGCACTTCGAAATGTCGACCAACAAGTTATATGGTAATCTGAAATAAAATTCTCAAGAGTTAACATTAAACTGTATTTAATCTATTCATTTACTTAGATATAGATGAATTCAGTGTACAAGTGTCTTACACACATCGTATATCTCAAGTACTTGTGCATTAATATAATAGTGGAATGAGATTAACAGATAGATAGAGAATCAAACAGATTTATTGGAAGTATTGACACAAGGCGTTCACATTAATCACCAACAGAGTTGAACTAATACATTTGACAGTCACATGCTCAGTCAAATATTGTATTCCGAAATGAGTATACAGTCATGTGCATTTAACATGTCTGTATCACATAACATTGTAGAATTGAATGCTTAAATGAAATATTCTTTACTTGTAGACTAGCAATCGTGAATATTTCATTGTTTTACGTTGTTTATAGCAGGTAGAAACTCACTTTAACTAAAAGGTCTTGAGTAGATTTTGGTAAGTTATATGCTGGGATCTCAATAAAAAGCGTTAAGAGAACGGCACGTAAATGTACGTATGGCCCAAAACGATTGTTGCGGTAACTAGAGTTTAGAGATAATTAGGATTTTTCAACTGCCTACGTAACGTACTCCAGTTTATAAAACAGTGATATCACCGCTTTCAAAGGATTGGTCTAATCTACGGGTTTATCTCTAGCATTTGCTGCGGTTTCAGTTTGTCTTTTGTTTATACAACCAGTGACTAAGAATTTCTGATATGATATTCTACTATTACAAGTTTATTATATTACTACTACGTCGCTACAAAAGAGCTTCAACCTGATTTATGTATTCAAATGATTCCATCGCCAGTTTTGTACTCTAATAATTTTAACCTCCAGCATCTAGTTATATAATGGCTGGTTTTGTGTTTGCAATTGTAAATCCATTTTCTTAACCTTTTCTTACGTCTTCTTAATCCACTAATTCTGGTTTTTTGGTCAATTTTAGGGAAATTCTGAGTAAAAGTTTAGACCTGAATAAGTTTTGGGAAAATCCCAAGCGAGGGTAAAT